TCCTTTCACTCCTGAGGTTTTATACCTTAATTACCTACTCTTTCCTAAGTTGGTGGCCAGTTATTCACCTCACCTAAATTGTGTAATCCTAATCCCTGCTTAAAACCCACATCTTGTCTGGAATTACACAACAAATCTGTTTCTGTGGGTTATTCTGAGGGAGAGAAAGAAAAAGAGGGATGGGGGAGAGAAAGAGAGAGAGACTGTATAGTGCGTATTTGTTTGTGTGAGAAAGATATGAATGTCCTTGTAGCAGGACGAGCCGCAGACAAAACTTCTCAGACACCGAGTTAAAGAAGGAAGGGGTTTATTCCGCCAGGGGCATCAGCAAGACTTCTGAGCCCAACCTCCTGAGCCAAGCAATTCCTGTCCCTCTTAAGGGCTCACAACTCCAAGGGGGTGCGTGTGAGAGGGTCGTGATTGATTGAGCAAACACTGGGTACGTGACTGGAGGCTGCATGCACCAGTAATTAGATCGGAACAAAACAAAGTAGGGATTTTCACAGTGCATTTCTACACAATGTCTGTAATCTATAGATAACAGAACTGATTAGGTCAGGGGTCGATCTTTAACTACCAGGTCCAGGGTGCGGTGCTGGGCTGTCTGCCTGTGGATTTCATTTCTGCCTTTTAGTTTTTACTTCTTCTTTCTTTGGAGGCAGAAATTGGGCATAAGATGATATGAGGGGTGGTCTCCTTCCTTATTCTAACTTCTAGACAAGACTGCAAAATTATGCAAGGAAGGCACTGTGTATCCTCCACTCCCTTTTGCTCTTCCAGCTTCAGACCTCCCTGTACATGGCGGATACCCAGCAAAAGGTAACATTGCCTGAGCTAATGAGAGTAGAGCTTGTGTGAGTGATTATGTGAGTGTGTGACTATTTAAAATGAATCTGCCTTTTAATGAGTGTGTATGTGTATGTCTATATGTGTTGGGGTATCTGGAAGGTAAAATCAATAAAGAAAAATAGAATATCAAGTTCAAATATGTAGGGGTAAAGTTTTCTAGGAATAGACAGGAAATTAGTGGGAAGGATACTAAGGATTAGAAGTGGCCTGGAGCAGGCACCATGGGACCCAGGCATGACTCAGTTCAGTGCAAGAGAAGAGCCTGTGGCTTCCCAAAGTGACAATGTCTATGCACCATCACAGAATACCCATTGCCATTCCAGGAACACCCCCAAGTGTACCCCTCCACACACATAGAAACATACAGTACTGGGTTTAGATAGATGACTTCTACACCAACTCCTCTGTCTCTGTAGGCCCTAACTCACAGTGGGGAAACAAGGAAGGAGGAAGATTCAGTCAATGACACACACAGCCAAGACTGCAATTAAAAGCGATTTAATGAGGGATACATACATTTCTTTTCATTCGAATCTTCAGATGAACCCTGAGCAGCTGAAGACCAGAAAAACCATTAAGACTTTCTGTTTAACTCAGGGACTTAGAGAATTCTTCAGAGTGTGTGTGAACAAAAGCTTCATAGTACATATTTTTAGGATACAAATAAGAGAGAAACTATGACTTGGGGTGACAATATATTGGTTACAAGGTCTACAGACAATTAAGACACAGAAGCACATGGGAAGAGGGTGTCCAGCATCTGGTGGTCGGCTTCTCAAGAGCTTGTCTGTGCACCACATTACTTCTGCTTGGTCTTCTGCTGAGCTGGGCCTGAAGTGACTGTTGAAGGATGCGGCTCTGGTACCTTGGTGTAGATTGGCTCAAGGGCCTTGGTGCAGCCTGGCTCAGGGACCTTGGTGCAGCCTAGCTCTGGAATCTTGGTGTTTCCCGGTTGTGGAACCTTTGGGTAGCCTGGCTCCTTGGTTATGGGAACAAATGATTCCTGACGGGGAGGCTGGCTGTGTTGTTTCACCTGCTGCTGCTGAAGCTGAGGGGGTGGGGTAAAGGGTTGCTTCTTCTTGTGGGAACTCATGCTTCAAAGGATGCTGGACCTAGAGACAAAAAAGTAGATTCAGTGCTTTGATTAAGTAGGAATGAAGCTAAATTCAATGCCAAACATCTTATTGCATGTCCCCAGAGGAATGAGAACCTTGAACTCCTGGGCTCTTCTCTTTCTTCCTGTTTTCTGAATTTAATATCAAAGGAAACTTTGATAATCCCCATGCAGTTTCAAAGGGAGAGAGTTAAAGTTGATTTGTTCTGCTCCATATAAGTCGTATCCTCTAAGCTTCATTTTTCCTGGTATATCTAAGAGCATACACTAGCGAGGGAGCCTAACAAGCCTTTGAGGACTGATGGGACGCCCCAGATTTGCAATAATTTGGAAAGGTCAATAGTCTAAAGTCTACTCAGTCATGCCTACCTTATGCAGTGCCATAGTTCTCATAGGAAAACTCCATCTAAACCTCCTCCTGAGGCCCATATGATCCAGCTGTGACCCTGTTTTCACATGGTGCCCACTGCACATATTTTCTGGAAGGCTCTCCACGCCGACACTACTTCTCTGCACCTGCCCACCCCTCATGGCTGTCCTCCCTGATGGTCTCATTGTAAGATTCTCCTGGGGCCTGAAAGTTTAAGGAGGTGAATAACTCCTCCCTTCTCAGGACCAGTCCCAAGGCGCAAGGCCACTTGCGTCAGCAGCGTGTGTCAGCAAGATAGCAGAAGCAGGAAGAGAGGTGGCTGGAGGACACCTACCCCAGCTGGAAGACACCTACCCAGGCTGGAAGACACGTACCCCTGAAGATCCTGAAAGAGGCCATCCAGGTACAATGTAGCAGTTGCGTCAGACTAGGACACTTCCTGCTTACAGGAGGCTATAAAACGTTTGCCCTGTCCTCACTTGGGGCTGATGCCATTTTGGGCCTCAGCTCGCCTGCACCCAGGCGCTCATTAAAACAGCATGTTTTGTCTCATGTTGTCTGTTGGCATGTTCTTGGGGTTCGAAATGATACAAGAACCTTACACTCATTTTCCTTATTTAGCCACAGCATGGTACATGATTTGTCCTCTCTACTATCACTCCCCATGTTGTATGTTTGCCAATTTTGTGCACGTGTTATGTTCTCTGATAGATCATAGATTTGTGTAGCAAGGAAGAATTTAACTTTTCTTTTTCTTTTTAAGAAATGGGGTCTTGCTATGTTGATAGGCTGGCCTCAAACTCCTGGGCTTAAGTGATCCTCCAGCCTCAGCCTCCAATGTTGGTGGGACTACAGAATGTGCCACTGCACCTAGATTTAAGTTTTGAACATCCAAATTGCCTAGTGCAGTGCCTTTGATGCTGACGATTCTCAAAATCATACAGATGATTAAAATATCACTAAAAGTGCCCTGGGCATGGAGTCTAATTCATTCCTCCTGCTCAAGGAATGGCACTCTAAAATAAATCACTTCCCAGTTCTGAGTCCCTGTCCCACAGCTGTAATCTGAGTGGGAATTCAAGACGAACTGCTTTAGTACCCTTAAGTACAAACTGCAAATCCACTTCAAATAACTATAGCCTTAGCATTGCAAGGAGACTCCAATCCAAATAAGATACAATTAAGTGAATATTAAGCAGTTTCAGGTGGGAAGTCTTACCTCAGAATATTGAGCTCCCTGGCCTCTCAGGTCTGGTTAGGAGTCTCTGGCCAACTGGGCTTTCATAACCCCTGCTATAAGGAAGTGGATTTGGGGAGGGCTGCTTTACCTTCATTCCAGCTGTGAAACCAGACAGGTCTCAGTTAATTTAGGAAGTTTGTTTTGCTAAGGTTGAGGACGCATGCCCATGACACAGCCTCAGGAAGTCCTGAAGACATGTGCCTAAGGTGCTCAGATCACAGCTTGGTTTTATACATCAGACATCAATCAACACATGTAAGATGAATATTGGTTCGGTCCGAAAAGATGGGACAACAGGAAGCAGAGAGGGGGGCTTCCAGATCATAGGTAGATAAGGGACAAATAGTTGCATTCGTTTGAGTTTCTGATTAGCCTCTCCAAAGGCGGCAATCAGATATGCATTTATCTCAGTGAGCAGAGGGTTGACTTTGAGTAGAATGGAAGGCAGGTTGGCCCTGAGCAGTTCCCAGCTTGACTTTTCCCTTTAGCTTAGTGATTTGGGGGCCCCAAGATTTATTTGCCTTTCATTCTTCCCCCCTTTTCTTTTGAAAAATCTTTTGGAGAAAGCGTTTTAGAAGAAATTGAGTCTCTGTTCCCAGGTTTCACCTGATCTCTCATGGCTAGGATGGTTTATTCCTAGATGGGTAGGTCCTGAGTTATTAGGAAAGCTCATTTTAGCAGGCTGTGAAGTCTCATGCTGTATGAAGAGAAAATAGGGGGAGGAAGGGAGAAAAACAAACAAAAGGAAAACCCTGGAAAATTGATATAGGGTGCATTACTCTGAAGTCCATACATTAGTAGGCAGGTATGAAATTGGCTTGTATATGTAAATAGGTTGCTGTTATTTTCTTCCGAAGTTTAAGTTGTCTAGCTTCAGTTTGTAGGGTTTTAAGAAAGCACAGCTTAGGTTTCAGTAACTCCCAATTAGGAAAAATGAGGGGAAAAAGAAGGAAAAGAATTGAAAACATTATTTTGAAGACTTGTAGCCAAGAAAATTAGAATTTGGTCCAAACTGTAGAAAATAATAACAGTTGAGGAACATTAGGCAAGACTGGAATCTAACAACAGGTATACTGTAGTTTTTGAAGCATAATAAGGATACTTAATTTTCCAAATAATAAGTCCTAATAAAAACAGCATGAAGTCAATTAAATTTGTTTTTCAAAATTTTATAAACCATCTATAAAATTTTAATCTTGACCATAAGATATAACTTCCAGAAACCTTTTATAATCTTTATGACGTTTATTAAGGAGTCAGTTAATGCCTTTATCTTTTTATGCGGCTTGCCCCTCTGTGTCTTTTAATTGGGGCATTTAGCCCATTTACATTTAAGGTTAATATTGTTATGTGTGAATTTGATCCTGTCATCATGATGCTGGCTGGTTAATTTTGTGGACTTGTTAATGTAGTTGCTTCATAGTGTCATTGGTCTGCGTACTTCAGTGTTTTTGTAGTGGCTGGTAACGGATTTTCCTTTCCATGTTTAGTACTTCCTTCAGGAGCTCTTGCAAGGCAGTTCTGGTAGTGATGAAATCCCTCAGCATTTGTTTGTTTGAAAAGGATTTTATTTCTCGTTCACTTATAAAGCTTAGTTTGGCTGGATATGAAATTCTGGGCTGAAAATTATTTTCTTTAAGACTATTGAATAGTGGCTCCCAATCTCTTCTGGATTGTAGGGTTTCTCCTGAGATGTCCGCTGACAGTCTGATGGGCTTCCCTTTGTAGGAGACCTGGCCTTTCTCTCTGACTGCCCTTAACATTTTTTCCTTCATTTATTTGACCTCGGAGAATCTGAAGATTATCTGTCTTGGGGCAGATTTTCTTGTGGAGTATCTTATTGGGGTTGCCTGGATTTCCTGAATTTGAATGTTGACCTGTCTTGGTAGTTTGCAGAGGTTCTCCTGGATGATATCCTAAAGTGCATTTTCCAACTTGGTTCCATTCTCCCAGTCTCTTTCAGGTACTCCAATCAGTCATAGGTTCTGTCTTTTACATGTTCCATAGTTCTCAGAGGTTTTATTGATTCCTTTTCATTCTTTTTTCTCTAATCTTGTCTGCCTGCCTTGTTTCAGCAAGGTAGTCTTCAAGCTCTGATATTCTCTCTTCTGCTTGGTCAATTTGGCTATTGATACTTGTGTTTGCATCACAAAATTCTGGTGCTGTGTTTTTAAGCTCAGTCAGGTCCTTTATGTTGCACTCTAAATTGGTTATTCTAGTTAACAGCTTCTGTAATCTTTTATCATGGTTCTTAGCTTCTTTGAATTCATTTAGAAGATAATCCTTTAGCTCAGTGAAGCTTGTTAGTACCCACTTTCTGAATCCTACTTCTATCAGTTCATCCATCTCTGCTTCAGCCCCATTCTGTGCCCTTGATGGAGAGGTGTTGCGATCATTTGGAGGAGAAGAGACATTCTGGCTTTTGGAATATTCAGCCTTTTTGCATTGCTTTTTCCTCATCTTTGTGAATTTATCTCCCTTTGACGTTTGAGGCTGTTGACCATTGGATAGGGTTTTTGTGGGGTCTTTTTTTTTTCTTTTCTTTTTGAGATGGAGTCTCGCTCTGTCGCCCAGGCTGGAGTGCAGTGGTGCGATCTCAGCTCGCTGCAAGCTCTGCCTCCCAGATTCATGCCATTCTTCTGCCTCAGCCTCCCGAGTAGCTGGGACTACAGGTGCCCGCCACCACGCCTGGCTAATTTTTTATATTTTTTAGTAGAGACGGGGTTTCACTGTGTTAGCCAGCATGGTCTCGATCTCCTGACCTCGTGATCCACCCACCTCAGCCTCCCAAAGTGCTGGGATTACAGGCATGAGCCACCATGCCCCGCCTTTGTGGGGTCTTTTTTGTTGATGTTGTTGTTACTTTCTGTTTGTTTGTTTTTCATCTAACTGTCAGGTTTCTCTTCTGCAGGTCTGCTACAGTTTGCTGGGAGTCCACTCCAGACCCTGTTTGCCTGAATATCACCAGTGGAGGCTGCAGAACAGCAAAGATGGCAGCCTGCTTCTTCCTCTGGAAGCTTCGTCTCAGAGGGGTACTGACCTGATGCCAGCTGGAACTCTCCTGTGTGAGGTGTCTGGCAACAGCTGTTGTGAAGTCTCACCCAGTCATGAAGCATGGGATCAGGGACCTGCTTAAGGAAGCCATCTAACTGTCCCTTAGCAGAGCTGGTGCACTGTGCTGGGAGAATGCCTGTCATCCAGATCAGTTGGACTCTTCAGAGCTAGAAGGTAGGAAAGATTAAGTCTGCTGAACCTGAGGCCATGGCTGCCACTTCCCCAGGTGCTCTGTTCCAGGGAGATGACAGTTCTGTCTGTAAACCCCTAGCTGGAGTTGCTGGAATTCCTGCAGGGAAGCCCTGCCTGGTGAGG